CTTGAGGCGGCGCGCTGTGGGCCTCTCGGGGCCCTCACCAGGCCCTCGAGTTCGGTAGCAAATCATGGGAGCCTGGTGTACCCTCCGAGTTTCGTCTTTGGCGTCGATAAGCGTCGACTAGCGTTTGGGAGTCGATGAGCGTCGACTAGCGTCGATGTGTCGTCGATTTAGCGCTAGCGTCGACTGTCGCAGTTTAGAGTCGATTCGCAAGAGCAGACAAGATGGTATGGGAGGCTCCCATGAGTTGCAACCGAACTCGAGAGGGACCGCTCTTGGCGTAAAAAGCTCCCATCCACAGACGTTGCTTCGACGGTGCCGCCCCCGGACCGCCCATTTCAGCGTTGCGTTCGCGGCCGTTGTCGGGGTGCCAGCGTCGGCATAAACGCCCACAAATTCCACCAAGGCAACCCCGTTTTCAAGAATGACATTGGGGGGTACGGGGGCTCTGAACACAACAGCATTGTCCATTGTTCCTGGTGGGCATTTTTTATGTTAACGGCGGCAGGTCGTCCACAGCTTTCGGCCTCTCGGGGCCTTCACCGGGCCTCGGAACCGTCAAAGCACTCCTCGGGATGAGAAGCTGGTCCCGGGGAAGTGATCGAGAAGTGTCGGGCCTCGTGTTTCATGTCTGGGGAGGTGGACGGCGTGGATGGTAATGCCATTTGTTATGGTGGTGCTTTGCTTCGGGCCCCGGGACCCTCACAGATCATTCCGGCTCGAAACTTGGCACAGAAAGATGGCATCTAGGGCTCCAGTCGTGAGTTTTCGCGATGTCACATTCTTTTTGCGAGGTCGGATCCCGGGGGAGGTGGGGAGGTGGACGGCGTGGATGGCAAGGTTTCGGATTGCACACAGACAGTCCCCCCAGGTAGCCTCGACTGGCCTCAACAGGCCCACCGAGTTGTCCCAGCTGGCCTCAACAGGGCCCACGAGCAGTCCTGGGCGGTCTCACTCAACACCCTGGCGCCGCCTCTGGCGGCGCCCCTGGGGCGCTCAGCGCCCCTGGGTTGAGGTGTTGGGGTCGCCTCGGACTGCTCGGGGGCGCCCGTTGAGGCCAGCCAGGACTGTACGCAATCATATTCTACCAGGTGTAGACTCGGCGGCCCCAACTGGTGCGGTGACCAAACCGTGTGGTGAGCCAAAGTCAGTGGGGATTCGGGATGACCGCACGGTTCTGAGGCTTCGGTTAAGTTCTGCGAGGGTGTCTCGAGCGACCGGGGCCTCCAAGGGCCCAAAACCGTCCGTGCGCAGAGGTCTTTGGGGGTTCCGAGGTCACCGCAAGGGCTGTTACCGCCCCAAGCGGGTGTGGACGAGGATGCAGAACACAGGTCCTCTCCGATTCGATCGGTCTGGTTCGGCTCCGAGCTCGCCAGGCTCCAGCCGCTTCGGTTCCGATGTTCTAGTGATCAGGTGCGGCCAGATGGTTGCAAGGCGCAGGCGTGCCGCTTCACGCGGCCGAGCTGTGTCGGTTCCGGCTCTGCGCCGACGCAGCCCGACCCGAGGCACGTGCCGGTTCGATTCTATGGCCTGATTCCATGCTGACTGATCCTGCCATGGCGACGCGAGATGGGATGGGGGGAGGGAGGGCGGAGGCTAGGAGAGGGAGAGCCCAGACCTCCGACGTCGTGATATTTGTGAACAGCGTGGGCCCCTGGAGTCCTGGAGGCCTCGACCCCTTCCTTGGGAACGCTGCTTCACCCCGGGCGGTGTTTTTTGACGGCCCCGGGGTGAGGGCCCCTGGATGACGCAGGCAGCCGCAGATGATCCGCCGTGATCTGTTTCGTCATCGCGACGCGAGGAGGTCTCTTGGGAAGGGGCAGGGTTCCCAGACCCCCTCGAGTAATGAAAAAATCATGACGGGAGGTTTTTTCTAATTTTCGGCCTCTGGAGGCCCTCACCGGGCCTCGGGAGCGTCAAAAAACGACTCAGGATGCAAAGCCGGTCAGGGGGAAAGGGTCAGGACCTCTGGGGGTCGACGTAATGAACAAATCATTACGTCGGGGGTCTGGGTTCGAGGCTCTAGGCCTCCTAGATGGGGTCCGAGCAGATGGGGTCCGAGGATCGCGCCGCATCGCCGATGCACCGGCGATGCGGCTCGATGTGGAGCCCGAGCTCCTCCACGCCGGAGTCGCCGATGCATCCCCGACGTATCGGGGATGCGGCGCGATCCCCAGACCCCCAACGTCATGATTTTTTTTTTTTTTTTTTTTTTTTAAAAAAAAAAAAAAAAAAAAAAAAAAAAAAAAAAAAAAAAAAAAAAAAAAAAAAAAAAAAAAAAAAAAAACGTCATGATTTTTTCACTGCGTGGACCCCCGGGGGTCTCGACCGCTTCCCTGGGACGGGCTGCTCGTCCCCAGTCGCTCTTTGGGACGGCCCCGAGGCCTTGTAGAAGGGGTCCCCATGGGGGCCGAAAACATATGGCGCCCAAGCTCCCGTCGAGATTGTTGTCCTTACTCGAGGGGGTCCTCGATCCTCCGGGCCCCTCCCCTCCGGCTGCCCGCCGAGGGGGCCTGGGGGGCCCCCCCCCCGCGCGCGACCCGGCAGAGGCCGCGGGCCCCGCGGAGCCCGCTGGGAGGCGGTCGCGGCCCCCGCGGGCGCTGGGGAGGGCCAGGGCGGCGAGGCGCCCGGCAGGCGCGCGCCCGGCCCTGCCGCGCCACGTGGGGCTGCTGTCATGTGCGGGACCCAGACCCTCTCGAGTTATGAAAAAATCACGGCGGGAGGTTTTTCATTATTTTTGGCCTTTGGCGGCCCTTACCGGCCCTCGGGACCGTCAAAAAACGACTCAGGACGAAAAACCGGTCCGGGGGAATGGGTCGAGACCTGGGGGGATCGACGTCATGAAAAAATCATGACGTCAGGGGTTTGGGGAGCTGCTGGGGCCCCCGAGGCCCAGACCCCCCTCGAGCACGGAGCAAGTCACGACGCGGGAGGCTTGTCGCCCTCTGCGGCCTCTGGGGGCCCTCGCCGGGCCACGGGACCGCCAAGAGCGACTCGGGATGACGAGCCGGTCCTGGGGAGTTCTAGGTCGAGACCCCCGGGGGGTCGACGTAACGAAGAAGTCGTGACGTCGGGGGTCTGGGGCGGGCTCATTTTTTACCTCCTGGCGATTTCGGGCGTGACCCGAGGGGGGGGAGGGCCAGGGGTGGCCGGACCGATGCCGTGCAAACCATTCCCTTCTGTGACGCCCTCCCCGCCTCAAGCCCACAAGACGTGGATGTGCGGCCGGAGGGAAGTTTGAGAGGCGATGGGGGGCGTCACGGAAGGGGATTGTTGGCCAGGGGCCGGTTACGCCGCGCCCGAAAGGGGGGAGGGGGCCGGTCACGTCGCGATTCGCGCCGGCGCGGTCTGGGAAGGAGCTATCGCGGAAAAAACAAAAAGTGGATTCCACTTCCCAGCAAGTGCACCAGAAAAGTGAGTTGCCAGTGGGCGCCAGAGAGGACCGAGGGCTCCTTGACGGACCCTCCCTCGGCAGACACGGGCGCCCCCCAAAAAGACCCAAGCGCACCTCCGCCCTCACACCTGCTCAAGCCAGTCAACAAAAGTTCATCCTCTTCCTCCCTCCGCGCTCCGACCCTCCCTGCGAGTGGCAGCTTCGCGCGGGCGCGATGCGCGCTGGCCGCGCGCTGCGCCTGGCAGCCTCGCGCGGGCCCGAGATGCGCGCTGGTCGCGCGCCGCGCCGACCTCCGACGAGGCGTGTGCTTCCGCCGCTGCGCTGTTCCTCGATGCCGGCCTCCGGCCCCCATGGGGGCCATCAGCAGTGGATCGGGGACCCCCAAACGGGGCGGTGACCACACCGTGTGGTGAGTCGGTGGGGATGCGGGGTCACCGCACGGTTTTGGGACTTGGGTCGTTCTTCGAGTATGTCTCGGGCGACTGGGGCCTCCAGAGTCCCCAAACCGTCCGGTGACGGACCGTGCGGTGAGGTCTCTTGGGGTTCCGAGGTCACCGCACGGTCTGTCACCACACGGTTTTGAGATCCCCAAGTGGATCTGGGACGTGGAAGTCTGTGCTCGTGGGAGGAGCTGGGCGCCCTGGGGTCGCAGACCGAACAGCATCGCAGCGCTGGCAATCTGAGCCCCTGCGGTCCCAGGCGCCCGACGTCGTGATTTTTGTCATGACGTCGACCCCCGAGTGTTCGACCTCTTCCCCAAGGACCAATGTTTCGTCTCGAGTCGTTTTTTGACCGTCCCGAGCCTGGTAATTATGGGTCCCCAGAGGCCGAGAAGGTCGAAAAACCTGCCGTCGTGATGTTTTCCTCGCTCGAGGGGGTCTTGGGAGAATCGCATCGTTGGCAATGTGAGCCCCTGCGATGCTGGCCGGGCGGGGGTGGCGCGGCGCGCGCGGCTCGCAGCTGGGTGGCGCGCAGTCCACGTCGCGCGGGTCGTCCACGTCGTCGAGCCCGCGGCGGCCTGTGCCACCCCGGAGGGCGCTCCCCCCGCCCGAGCGGGCGTCCCCGTCTTGCGGCAATATGTGGCCCCGGGTGCAGAAGTTGGAGGCCTGGAAATTGGCACCAGCACCAACACAGGGGGTTGCCTCCACAGGGGGAAGATAATCCTCGATTCCGGTGTTGGTGGCAATATTTCGGCCACCCTGGAAGCCAGAATATTACCACCATCACCGAGATCGGGATCTTCTTCCCTCGTTGGAGGCACGCCGTCGAAATTGGTGTTGGTGTCAACCTCTAGGCCTGCGAAGAAGGGAGGCACCTCCTCGGCTTTCTGTCTGCTGGGCCTCGAAGAAAAAAGAAGCGCCACAAGCATTCACTTGTGGCGCTCCCCCGGGATGTCTTGGGTCCGCGCTGGGCCCACCCCGGTGGCGCCTCCAGCGCCGCCCCTGGCACGCGCGGAGCGGGGTCCAGCGCGGATCGAAGAAGTCCGCGCGGAGCGCCAAAAGTTCATGTGTTATGGCGTGTTTTCTTTTTCTGCTGGGCCGAAGGCGGCCCGAGCTGATGCTGCAATCGAGGTGTCTGGGGGCGCGGCGGTCCCTGCGTCGAGGTGGTGATGAAGATGACGGGGACGTTGACGATGATGGCGATGGCGAGGACGGCGATGTGGCGAGGAGGAGCAGCAGGAGCAGGATATCGAGCCGACCGTGGGAAGGATCGGAAAGTGTTCCACTGGGCACGGCAAGCGGTGGGGCGCGGCGGTAGGTGTGGGCGAAGTGATCCCGTGCGCACGACGGTCGCTGGAATGTCCCAGAGGGCTTGACACGGGCCAGGGGGGCACAGAGTGTTCACGCTTCGCGCGCCCCCGCCAGCCCATCCGGAAACGATTCCAAGGCGAGCTGTCCTCAGCAGGGGAGCAGGAGCATGCAGCGGAGCAGCGAGCAGCCGCTCTCTGTGCCGAAGGGGGAGGCGCAGGGAGGAGGAGCACGAAGAGGAGGATCGAGGAGGAGGCAGGGCAGGAGCAGGGGGCCGACCGCCGTGCTTCCAGGGGAGCGCAGTCCAACTCGGCGCAATCCAGCACGGGCACATCAGGGCAAAGCAGCGCAACTCAAGGCGGCACACTGCAAAGCAGCGTACGGCCAAGCGAAGCATTTCAAACTAAGCAAGGCAGTGCAGCGCAAAGCAATATAGCTCAAATCAACACACCGCACATGAATGCATTTAAATGCACATCCATGCAAAGCACTGCACATGAATGCAAAGTAGTTCAAAACACTCGGAGCTACAACTCCATATGGACAGCAGTACCAGCGAAGCAAAGCACAGCAAAGCATCTAACGCCTAGCCATGCCAAGCTGTGCGAAGTAATGCAGAGCCGCGCAATGCAATGAAGCTAAACGCGACGCAATGGAAAAATCATGCGGACGCATGCGAACAAATGCAAGACAGAGCATGGTAAACATTCGACTGGGAAGGCAACCATGGCAATGCAGTGGAAGTGAATGCGATTGAAACCACAGCTAAGCAGGCCGATGACGCCTGAGGAGCCTCGAGGAACCCCCGAAGACCACGGGAGGACCGCCGAGGAGCCCCCGAGGACCTGTCCGGAGGGCGTGTGGGCTCCCCCGGACCTCTTGCACAGAGGGACTTGCGGTCCGGAACCCTCCCTTGGCACGTCGCGCCACGGGCTCTGGTCCGGCCGCACCTCGGCGGGGCACGCCGCGCCCGCGTCGCAGCTCCCGAGCGGCCACGTCCCGGGTCTCCCGCGGCTTCCCGCCCCGCGGAGCGAAGCGACGCGCCGTCCGTCTGCAGGGCATGGCGTGTCGCCAGGGCCGCCGCCGCGACACGCTGGGCAGAAGTTCCTGGCCGTTGATCCCGCTGCGACGCCACAGCCGGAAATTACTAGGACGAGTGTGGAACGCGTTTCGTTCCCAAAGCTTCCGCGTTGTTTCAGGACCACTGCAGAGACGTAACGCATGAGTTTTGGAGTGGGGCACCTGGCCTAATGAAACAGCAGCAGGCGCAAATATCCCAGTTGAAACAGATCGGCGACAATACATCTGGCAGTGCTGTCACGACGACGTTCCACAAGGCGTGGTGCGTAGTTCGGCTCAAACGTCTTAACGTGGACAGCTGAACGCAGAAGTAGCGTAGGATGTTTGCAGAGCGGTCCAAGGCCATCCATGATTGGGCGGCCAAATGCCCTGCCAAATGGAAAGGAAAGCAGCCCACCTTTGACGAATCTGCTGCAGAGATGCGCGAGTTTTTGGGTCTTGGGCTGTTGCGCCACACGTCGCTCAGAGACGAACCAGAGTGGTTTTTCGAGGCGCACCGCGCCGTTGCTCTCAGCGAGCACAACCTGGGCATGGGCTTCTGGACGCGCCTGACGGTGCAGTTCAACCTCTTCGCGGGGACCGTCCTCGCAGTCGGCGGCGACGAGCAGGTTGCGCAGCTGGACGCGATGCAGGAGAAGCAGCAGCTCGGCTGCTTCGGTCTTACCGAAAAGTTTGCCGGCGTCAGCTCTGGCCTTATTGTGGAGACCTTAGCAGAGTATGACCGCGCTTCGCGGCAATTCGTGCTCCGCACGCCAAGTGAGGGCGCAAAAAAGAATTGGATATCCCAGGGGTTCGTGGCCGACAAGAGCGTGGTGATTGCAGATTTGATGATCGACGGGAAGTCCAGGGGACCACATGCTTTCCTTATAGATTTCCGCACAATCGTCGACGGCAAAAAGCAGTTGGTGTCAGGTATCACTTTGGACGACATGGGCCCAAAGACCGCGGCCAACAGCCTAGACAATGCTTGGATCCACTTTGATGACGTTCGTGTCCCCGAAACTGCCCTCCTCAATCGCTACGCGACCATTGACGCCGAAGGGAACTACGTGACTAAGCAAGCGGGGATGTTCACAATGGGAATGATCGGTCAGCGCCTATTCACTGGGCGCGTCGGTGTAGCCCAGGTTGCAACCCTGTTTGGTAAACGCCTGTTCGCCCACACCAAGGCGTATACCGACAACAAGCAGTTCAACGGTCCCAAAGGGATGCGCCCCCCGCTTTCGATGCTACCGCAGGTGATGTCCCTGTTTTCCAAGGCCGAGGCGGCCTTCGACTACTGCGAGCGCTACAATGCGCTCGTGGAGGCGGAGCTGTGCGACTGCCTCCGTAAGGGCAAGCTCCCACCGCCTCGGCTGACCGACGCGATTGCCACTGCTAAGGTTCGCTCGGTGGAGACGTGCGTCACACTCTGCTTCAAATTGAAGCAAACAGTTGGCGCGTACGCACTCATGGAGCACTCAATGTTTGGGCTGCTTGACAATATGCACGTGGCCAAGTGCGCCGAGGGGGAGTCCTGCATCCTGATGGCCAAAATGGCGGGCGACCGCATGAAGGCGGGTGATGTGCCGAATTCTGGTGAGGAGGAGCAGAAGCTTGTGGCAGAGCTCAGGCAGTCTTCATTGACTGCAGAGTCTGACAAGGCTTTCTACCTCGCCGAGCTGGTCATGGACCGCCTGATGCAACAGTACCTTGGCCAGCCCATCCCAAAGGGTGTTGGGCGGACTTTCGCCGATGACTTTCATCTTTCAAGGCTCTAAGCTACCTGGGGAACCCCACCAACAAATCTGGCGGACAGTGTTGGACGGCGGTTACTCCAAAGGTTTTCTAGAACATGCGATTTGTCGGGCGGGAGCGTCCTACCTTTGAGTTTCCAGTTCCTGCTCCCGTTCGCATTCTGCGTGCGATTACAAACCAGTTCCCCTTTCTGCTCGTGAGCACTGCGACCCATCCGAAGCGAGGCGTGCTGTGGGCACGATTTGTACCGCATTTGAAGAGGACTTCCAGGTGGACAACCGACACAGTCCCTACCTGCCAGCAGAAAAAAAAAACAAAGCTCTCGCATGGCGTGGGGCAGAGGGAGCACTTGGGTCGCGTCGTGTCATCCGCGCCTACGTTGCAGTGCAAGCAAAGTGAAGGAAGATGTGTGGCGTAAGCTGTGACACGCGGATGCCGCACTGCAACCTACGGACAGTCGTCGGAGTCGTCGCCGCCGATATGTAGCCGTCGTCGTCGGCAACGCTGGCAGGGTACCCGAGCGCCCGAGCGGCCGGCACCAGAGCGGCGGGCCGCAGAGGCGCTCCTGGGCGACCTGTCTGGGGAGGTGCAGGTGCTGCCGTCTGGACGTCGGCGCTTTCCAGAGCAGCCGTGCGCACGCCATTGGCATCTGCACCCGCAGAACAGCAGCAGTGACAGCAGCAGCAGCAGCAGCAGCAGCAGCGGCAGCAGCAGCACTAGCAGCGCGGGAAAGGTGCACATACCCCGGAGCCCGTGTATGGTGGAGATTGTGCAGTGCGTGCGCATGGTGCAGCATGTTTTGTGAGGAAAATCCAGGAGGCCTCGCGCGGCGCTTAATAGTAGCGTGATCTAGTCCACTTGTCAGTTCCGTAAGCTATGGGTCGACGCTCGCGCGGCGATGCTCCGGAGTCAGTCCAACGTAAATCCGACGTATAACTCCGACGTAGTCCGACGTGAACCCGACGTCAACCCGACGTGGATCCGATGCAAATCGGGTCTCAAGTTGCAGAGCGAGGCCCCCGGGATTTCCCTCATCACATGTTGGGTGCAAGCTGCATGGCGTAAGCAATCCCAGTGGGCCCCCAACGGCCCACGAGGCGCCCGCGGGAGGCACCCGGGACACGCGAGCCCTGACGGACCGCCGGCCTCACGGGGTGCCCACGAGGCGCCCACGAGGGAAAATAGCCGGAGATCCCGGCCAGGTCCTCCCGGCCTCTGCTCCTTCGCGCAAGCACCGGCTGGGGACAAAGCGCTAAAGTGGTTGTACATCACCGCCCAGCAAGCCACCCCCACCCAACCCGAAGGCCCCGATCTGCCCTCCATTTCCACTGGGCGGGGGGATCGGGGGAACGTCGATTACTCACTGCGTGGAGCTCCCCATATGTGCATCTATTTGCATGCATCTTTCCGCTGTGAGCGCTTACGCGCAAGAGACTTCGAATACAAACGGGTTTGAGTGTTGATAGACTGAGAGTGAGTCTAACTATGAATGAGTTGGAGTGTGAATGAGCCTCAGTAGTACGAGTGAGTCTGTGCGCATGCGCCTGGGGCCTCCTGGGGCCTCAAGAAACCTCCTGGGGCTTCCTGGGGCCTCCTGGAGCCTCTTGGGGCCTCCTGGGGCCTCCTAGGGCTTCCTGTGGCCACATGAGGCCTCCTGTGGCCTCGTGTGGCCTCCTGCCGCCTCCTGGAGCCTCCTGGAGCCTCCTAGGGCCTCCTGGGGAGGATTCGTGCCCCAGGAGAGGCCCACTCTACATGAACAGACGTACATAAAACATTGCGGATTGGAGCCACAGGAGAAGGGCAATCTATAGGAACACGCGTAAATCGCCAAGGATTCGTGCCCCAGGGGAGGCCCAATCTACAGGAACAGATGTACAATATTTAGGATTGGATACGCAGAAGAGGGGCAATCTAATGAAATATACGCAGAACATGAAGGATTCGTGCTCCAGGGGAGGCACAGTTTATAGGAGCATACGTACAACTTCTCCTGGGGCCTCTTTTGGGGCCTCCTGGTGCCTTCGGGGGCCTTCTGGTACTTCCTGGCGTTTCCTGCTGCCTCCTGGGGCCTCCTGTGGCCTCCTGGAGCATCCTGGAGCCTCGTGAGTCCTTCTGGAGCTTCCAGGGGAGCCTCCTGGTGCCTCGGCCTCTTGAGTCTTCCTGCGGCCTCCTGATGCCTCCTGGGACCTCCTGTTGCCCCCTGGGGCCTCCTAGAGCCTGCTGGCGCCTCCTGTGGCATCCTGGGGAGGATCCATGCCCACGAGTCTGGCCACCAAAACAGGCAAGCCGATCGAAACAGCCTCAAATGCGGGCCCCACTTGGGGGCGACAATGGGCGCCTCGCTCGAGAGATCGTCCAAATCTGCTCCGACAACGGAGGATCTTTGGCCACAAAACAAGCACACCGCTCGAGACATCCCCGCCATTTTGGCGCGAACGGAGAAGTGCAATACCCCCTGGCGGCTCCCCCTTGGGGGTGCTGAAACTCGCGCCTCGCTCGAGACATTCTCAGACCTTGCTCCACCATCATCATCATCATCATCATCATCATCATCATCATCATCATCATCATCATCATCATCATCATCATCATCATCATCATCATTCATCATCATCATCATCATCATCATCAGCATCAGCATCATCATCATCATCATCATCATCATCATCATCATCATCATCATCATCATCTTCATCGTCATCATCGTCATCATCGTCATCATCGTCATCATCATCACCACCACCACCACCACTACCATCATCACCACTACCATCATCATCATCATCATCAGCAGCAGCAGCAGCATCATCACCACCACCATCATCATCATCATCATCATCATCATCATCCATCATCATCAGCATCATCATGGTCATCATCATCATCATCATCACCACCACCACTACCATCATCACCATTACCATCATCATCATCATCATCATCATCATCATCATCATCATCATCATCATCATCATCATGATCATGATCATCATCATCATCATCATCAGCAGCAGCAGCAGCAGCAGCATCATCATCATCATCATCATTTTCATCATCATCATCATCATCATCATCATCATCATCATCATCATCATCATCATCATCATCATCATCATCATCATCATCACCATATAGCAGCAAGAGCGTGTTCTACCGCTGCTGGCGGAAACGCGGGGGGGGGTCACTGGGGGGGGTCCCAACCCGTCCCCCCCCCCTTCGAAAACTGCGGGGGAGTCACTACCGGTTCGAACCCCCCCGTCCCCCCCCGGATCCATCATGAAAAGGGGGGGGTCACTACCGGTTCGACCCCCCGCCCCAAACCTCCCCTTCGCCGCCAGCAAACGATTCCCCCCGCTCCTCGGGACAGTGGGACAGTGGAGGGCTTGGGGCCGTCTTGAGGCCTCTCGGACGTGTGTCGGAGGCTATCTGGACCCATCTACCGCGATCTTGGGCCATCTTGGAGGCCATCTTGCGCTGTCCCAGGCCCTCTTGGAGCCATCTTGGGCCATCTTGGACGCTGCTATGGGTCGGACCCCCCCTGCCCAAACGCATGGAGGGGGGGGAGGTAAACCTCCCAAGCAGGGAAAGGAATGAGGTTGGAAAAGGACACGCCCTAGACCACCTGCTCCCAGAGGGCTGGTGGGATTGGGGGCGATGGGGGGTCGGCAAAACTTGCTTTAAGCTTCGCGGGGGGTGCAGGGTGAAAACGCACACGGGTGACACGCGCCACCCCGAAACATGCGCAAGATAAACCAGCCGTTTCAGAAGGTCAGACACACGACGAAGCTAGGCAACGCGCAGAGGGGATTATGGGGGAGGGGGGAATGCTCTTCGAAGCACCCCTGCTTCTCAAAAGGCGCGGGTCTTGCCTGTAAATGTGAGGCCAGCGCCTTCTAAGAGGCAGCCTCCTTGCAAGAAGCCTTCCGCTCTCCCCCTACCCCCTTGTCTTGGCATCGCTCGGGCGCGTACACTTTCTCTCGGCGAGGACCATCGAGGAGCATCCCGGATCATCGAACAAGAACACACACACACACACACACACACACACACACACACGCACGCACGCACGCACGCACGCACGCACGCACGCACGCACGCACGCACGCACGCACGCACGCCGTCGAGAAATGCACGGGGAGTGGACGTCCGAGCGATGGCAAAAACTGTGCGCGCCGCCGCAGAGCACAGGGGAGACGCCCGAGCCCGCCCCCCGACGCGCCAGGCCGCCCGAGGCTGGCCCTGAGCCCACGGGCGGGGGCGGCGCTGGCGCCGCGCGTCAGCGCGGGAAGGGCGAGCCCCGGCCCGGCCGGGCCGGCCCAGCTGGGGTCGACTACAGACGTAAGAGCCTGTCTCTTTTCTTTAGACTCAAGCAAGTTTACTTGCATGGCGTTCGCCCCCCCCCGCCCCCGCCGTTCCCCCCTTTCCCCTCCCCCTCCCGCCCCTTCAGTCGACTGCGAGCGTACAAGTGTTGTTCGACTTGCGAGATTTCCGCACGTCAAGTCGTTTGCGGCCTGCTTCAGGCTCAGCCCCCCCCTCCGTCCATGCAAGTACTGTAAACCTGCCAGAGTTCTTTATTTCTTTAGTTATTTATTAGAAAAAGGCTCTCAGAGCCGTGGGCGGCAAGGATGGGTGTGAAGACGGGGGGGGGGGGGGCGGGCGGGGCTGGACGAGGATAGCGTTTCAGAGCGTGGCGGAACGCTCTGAGAGGGCCGCGGCGCCCGAGACATCCTCCAGAATCGCCAGGTCTCGGAGATTCTTGGTGTATCCTCACCCGATGTTGTCCTCGTCCTGGCTTCGTCTGATGGGTGGGATCTGATGGCGGGGGGCCTGATATCCCCCCAGAATTCAGGGCGCCTCTTCTTCGTTCAGTACGTCCCTGGCTCCCCCCCGGGGCCGCGCACATGCCGCATGCCATGATTTGCGTCCCCCCTTTTGGACGCCCCCCTCTTGGACGCCCCCGAAAGAGTGACCCTTCGCCGGAGGGACCTTTGATGCGGGCCCACTGGGGTACCCGATCGCCGAA